CTGTAGTTGCTAGAGTCTAAGCCTTGGCCAAGGCTTATCTGCTTGCGAGTTGGTAATTCCTTCGTCTGTCTAGTTGTTAGCCTTGCTTGAGGGTTATCTGTGTTTTGATCGGTGCTTGTCAATTGTTTCTAGACCATAAGCCTTGCCTGAGACTTACATGCGCATTAGCTAGTGCTTCTCCTACTGTGAGAATGTAAGCCTTGTCCGAGGCTCGCAGTCAGGGACCTGTTGCCTTTGCTAGGATATAAGCCTTGCCCGAGGCTTATACTAGAATTGATGACCGTTTCTGCATAAGATCTGCTTTTGTGAGACTTCTTTCTGAAATTAAATTTTGTCATCTTTCCTGCATCAAAATAGATAAAATCACTCAGATTAGGTTATAAGCAGTTCAATTACGCACTCAAAATAATCAATAAAGATGTTGTTTATGCGTGTTATCACACTCCCCCCACACTTATATTTTGCTTACCCTCAAACACTCTACGATATTGTTCCATAATTCTCAACCTTTCACCTGTAACCCAACTATCCCTAGCCATACCCTCACAATTTGCATGTTACATCTCAATCTTTAAAATTGGAAAAACAGTCACTATGTAGTATTTCTAGGCTTGAGTCTCATGGAATCACACTAATGAATAACTACTCTGAATAGTTTTTGAGCATAAAATAGAAAAGTTCTGCAGGTTTTTAAACATATTTTTATCTTGAGAAAAACAACCAATAACTAGTGCAAAATCCAGAACAAACCTTCCTAGACATAAAATTTTCATGCAAATGGGTTCATGTTAGAACAAAAGATTTATTAGGGATTATTTCCCGGGTACCTTTATTGTTTGCTTGAATTGTCACAACTTTTTTGACGCAAGGGCAAACATTTATGATGAATGCATCCGGTTACTCAGTTGGTCACAAATTCAAGTGATTACTAGCGCTACTTATAGTCATATGGATATATTAAAATGTTACTAACTTTTTGATGCAAAGGCAAACATTTGTGATGAATACACCTGGTTACTCAGTTGATCACGATTTCAAGAGACTAGAAGAGTAGATTATTATTTGTGCTCTCTTTCTTTTTTTTTTTTTTTCAAATGAACCATAAAATTCTAGACACACAAATCATGACAAGTTGTAATAGAGTTTTCCTAAGAATTGACATTCACTTCAAGACAAGAAAATCAATTAAATGCGACCCCTAAACAAGTTATGTTAAGACACATTACCAAGGAAGCTTCTTCATAGTGTGAAAAGATGAAAAACAAGCCAGAAATTCTAGAAGGTTACTGAAAATGTAATTTAATTCTTGAAATATCATAGTTGAATTATCTTGGAAATAACTATGGCAGTAGTGAAAAAGGTGGGTTAAAAACTATCGAAAGTGCATCTGTGTGCGCCTTGGACAAGGCTAAGATTATATGTCTACCAACAGAATCAAAATAGAAACCTAAAAATGCAGCATGTCCCTCCTCCACACTTAAATGGCACATTGTCCCTAATGCGATGCAAAAAGGATGAATAAAATAAAAATATAGGAAAAAGAAAGGAGACGGAAACTTCCCCGGTATTATGGCTGGGAGGTGGGATACACTGGAGGTTTATCTGGTGCGGGGCCGAGGGGCGGCCTAACACTTCAACTTTGTCTACTAATTGGCAGGTTAGCTGTTCGAGGTTATGCAAGCACCTGTCAATCATCCGATTGTGCATCAAGATGTAGTCCATGAATTTCTCTCGGTTTGTAGTGGGGGTTCTGCCTTTGAGAATCAGTGGCAGTGGGTTCTGCTTGCTCTTTCTTTTTGCCATATATTCTCATGTTTCTGGGCTCGGGTGGTCCTGGGGGTGCAAAGTAGGATTTGTTATCTTTAAGTTCCAGCAGGCCCATGTCATCTAAGGAACGTAAATTTAGAGGAGTTTGTGGGCAGATAATGTGCAAGTCGGTTTCATCAATATCAAGGCCAGTGGTGAAGATGGCCAGTTGGGTGATGATTAAAGGTCGATTGAAAGAGATAACATTGGATAACTCTGATGCAAACCAAAAACCCAGGTTCACTCGTCTCCTGTGGACCATGCACCATAAAAAATAACAATTCGATTTTTGATAAAACACTTGGTGCGTCCCTCCGACCCGAGAAAGAATAGGCCAAGAACCTAGGAATGTATTTCATGCAGGGTTCGTGGAGGCATAGGTCTTTGGATTTGTTAAGGTCGTAGGTATCAGGTGGGTTGTCGCAGAACTCAGCATATAAAGTAACGGGGTCAAAGTCACCGCAGAACTCACAGTAGGGATGGTCACGCTCCCTTGTAGAAAAGCCTAAGACATCACTGAACTGGACAATTGATAGGTGAAAGCATTTGCCCATCAGACGGAAGGAAATCAGATTCGGTGTGTGGAGATTGAAACTTTGGGAGTTTATGAAAGTTAAAAGTGGTGTAGAACTTCCCAACCAATTCGACGTATGCGGGAACATTAACATCGAAATAGATTGACCAGCCGATATCATAGATCAATGTCAGGACACCTTTTAAGGTTTTTAAAGTAGGGGTCGTGAACACACTTACCAGGAAAAATTGGAAGTTGACGGATTTCCTCATACCTTTCTTTTTCCACATCATCCTTGAAAGCGAGATGATCGCGTAGTTTGGATTCAGCAGGTTGTGAATATGTGTGCCTTTTCTGACTCGTGCCCGCTTTCTAGTTCTATCGGCTTCTGGGCTTTCACCGGTTGGCTTTTCTGGAGGCTGTTGAGGGTTAGGTCGTGTGGTCGCTAGCTCGTTTCGGTTGTCAGAGTGTGGGAGCATCTGGGTCGAGAGTCAAGGACATCTATTACGAAGCTGCAGTTTAGTAGACTGGTCGTTCCAGAACCAGTTGCACTATGGGGTCGACTGTATTCCGTGCTTGGGATTCTGGAGCTATTAGTGGTGCTGGGGTTTATGATGGCGACTATTCGGCAAGTCACTTTGTGGGTCTGAGGACTCCGTGTTTTCTGGCAGATCTCTTTTGCCTCATTATTCTACTTTTGGGTGGTTAACAGGTAGGGCTTGTTCAGATCTAAAGGAAGAAGGGGGTTGAGGAGTTCGGGATGGGGAGGAGTTCCGGCTAGGCCAAGGCTTTGGTAGATATGAAAAAGAATTTATTCTTTTTCTGTTTTTGGTTTCTTTTTTTTCTTTTGCTAAGCCTTGGGCAAGAATCATAAAAATGTACGAGTTCGAACTGCCAACAATCATAAACCTTGGGCAAGGCTTATGTGAGTTCTTTTTGTTTAAGTTTTGTCCCCGCGTGTTGTTGCGCCATAAGTCTTGGGCAAGGCTAATGTAGCTGCCCGAAATCAACCCCCATACGTAGTTGCATCACAAGCCTTGGGCAAGGATTAGTAAATGTTTCCAAATTGGATCCCACGTAGTACCGGGGCATAAGCATTGGGCAAGACTTGCATCCAATTTGTGAAAAGACCATGAAGTTGTTGACCCTTGGGCAAGGCTTGAATTGTCGCCCTAAGCCTTGGGCAAGGGTCATGCGATCTTTATAGCCAAATAACCCAGTGGTCCTGTGCGCAATTTCTCCTTGGACATCCTGTAAACAATGAAGAAAAATTCCAGTTAGAGTGATCGAGGTTGAAACGTTAATAACAGAAAGTATAAAAATCAAGATACCATAAAAATATCAAAATAAATTTAAAAAAGTAAAAAAAAAAAAAAAAAAAAAAACAAAAAACCGAATGGTTGCCACTCATTAAGTGCCCTTGGTTACTGTTCTAGGCTGGACATTACCTTTTGCTGTCAGTTGCTATCGGAAGGGATGTCTAAAGTGAGTTCCTTAACTTGTTGTGCTGCAAATCCTTCACAGAAGGCCTTGAATCAATGTCCATTTACTTTGAAGGTTCTGTGTGCATCTAAGCTCTTGATCTCAATTGCATCGTGAGGGAATGTGTTTGTGACCATAAAAGGACCTAATCACCTAAAGCATTATTTGCCGGGAAACAACTTCATACAGGAATCATAAAGTAAGACCTTCTACCCAACACAAAATCGTTTTCTAGAGATCATCCGATCATGGAGGAATTTTGGTCTTTTCTTTATAAATTCGTGAATTTTCGTAAGCATCATTTCTTATCTCCTCCAGTTCTTGTAGCTGCAGCTTCCTGTGTTTCCCAGCCTCTATTAGCTTCATATTGCAGCTCTTGATTGCCAAATAGGCCCTGTGTTCCACCTCTACGAAGAAGTGACAAGCTTTGCCAAAAAACTAGGTGGTAAGGTGACATTCTGATGAGGGGTTTTGTAAGTTGTTCTATAGGCCCATAAAGCATCCTCCAGCCGTAAGCTCTAATCCTTTCTGTTGGGGTTGACTATTTTCTCTAATATAGACGTCACCTCTCTCTTGAAAACTTTCGCTTGACCACTGGTCTAGGCGGTGGAGGTATGATGGGGACATGGTACTTCTTAAAGAGGGTCTCCACACCTGATTATAAAATTACATTCCCCAGTTATTTATCATTGACCGAAGCACTCTGAACCTGACGAAGACATGAGTTTGGATAAAACTGACAACAGTTTTGGTATGGACGGTTCTGGTGGCCTCAACTTTTACCCACTTAGAGACATAATCTACTGCAAGCAAGATTTAGGAGTTGTCGATAGAAATGGTCCCATGAAGTATATCCCCCATACATCAAAGATCTCATAAACCAGAATGGTGTTAGCAGCATTTGGTCATTGCAGCCTAGATTCCTTGTCCGTTGACAATTTTCATATGTTTTGTAGTAGGTGTACACATCATGGAATAAGGAAGGTAAAAACAACCCGTATTCCAACACCTTGCGAGCTGTCTATTTAGAGTCGAAATGTCCTCCGCAAGTATGAGAGTGGCACACACACTCGGCGTATAATCCTGAACAATTATAGATTCAAGAATCTTGAATGACAATATGCTATCGTACTATATGCATAACAGGTCTTATTAAACAGATAACACATAACAATAGTTGTATGCGTAACAAGATAAACAAATACTAAAGTTTAAATAAAAATAAAAACAAAATAATTCGATCTCACAATCTTAGAGCTAAAATTCTAATTAAATCTCTAACTAAAAATAACAAGGTTTAGCCGCTCATATTGACCTTGATACACTAAAAGTTGTTTATAGTGTTTTTACAGAAAGAAGAAAAATTTAGAAAAACCTAAGTTTGTTGCAATCCTCGACAACTCCCCCTCTTTTCCTTTGTTCTTCCTATTAAAGGCCGAGAGGATATGTTTTGCCAAGATAGGGTTTCACACGAGCATCTCGGCTTCTTTTCTACTTTTCAAAATAATCTTCTCCTTAATCCTAGATTTTCCGCCTCCTGAATATGTCAAGATCTCTCTTTTAAATTTTGAGGTGTGCCGGTTTTCAAATCTGCAGTTGCCAGGATCTAAGCCTTGGCCATTGCTTATTTGTGTGCAAATTGGTACTTCTTCTAACTGTTTTATCATTAGCCTTGCCCGAAGGTTATCTGCGTCTTGATTGGTAAACATCCACTGTTGCTAGAACGCAAGCGTTACCCGAGGCTTATATGTGCATTGGTTAGTGCTTCTACTACCATGAAAATGTAAGCGTTGCCCAAGGCTTGTAGTGAGGGGCTTGTTGCCTTTACTAGAGTATATGCCTTGCTCGAGGCTAAGGCCCATGTATAAGCCTTGCGAGTGTGACCCAAGCCATAGAAAAGATCACGCCTTCGAGAGAAGGACTGAGGAGGTTAAGGCCCATGTCGGCCATGCTTACTGCCAAGCAACGGCCCAAGGAGGGCAAATGCATGGCCCACCCAAGCATTCCATGGTGGGCTCATGTTCAGGCCCATTTAAAGGAGCTCATGAGAACCGATCTGGAGGAGTTTGGACAAGGTAAGATGGCTTCTAGCTTCACTCCAAGGGGGTCGATTAAATGGGGCTCCAATAAGCCCGATCCAAGTGTTCATGGAGGGGACCAGGTCACAAGTAGCCTTTATGGCCCAAGAAAAAGTTGGGCCATGGCCTTTCGGCCAAAGGGGCCTTCAACTAGAGGAGTCATGTAGACAGAAGGCATTTTACACATGTGCGGGCTTGCATATGCACAGGACGGACAACCAGCCCATGCAGGAGACTTGTACACCTACTTGTGCGAACAGAGCAGCTTGCACGTGCAGGACGGTGTGTAGGAGACTCGTACACTGGATGTGCATGCATAGGATGGTACGCAAGAGAGCTGCACATGGGATGTGCACGTGACAGGCCGCATGCATGCTGCACTGCACATACAGGCAGAACACGCATGCGAGATTCCTAGCCTGGGCAAGTGAGGTGTGTAAACGAGAGAGAAGTTGCATCCTGTGAGGAGTCTTATTTATTTGTTTTCCATGTGTTTTTTATGGCTGATTTCTTCAAGAATCCTGCAGCAAATTGAAGACCATATGGAGAATTATAGCACATGGAGAAAGGGAGGAAATTATCTAGTTAATTGTTTTATTACTATTTAATTAGATATTTTAATGTTATATTTTATCCGTAGGATTAATTAATTATTATATTTGTATTAAGATTAGACTATATTATTATTTTATTTATTAATTTTAATCCCAGGATTAGGATAAAGTATTATATAGGAAGAATTTTAATTAATTTCAAGTTATTGTATTTGATTAGAAGTATTAAGGTGAGAGCCTATATAAAGGCCTCAGCATTAGGCTGTAAAACACACAATCGAAAATTTAGAATAAAGTTTCAGCTTTTGATGTGAACTAGTTTTCTCTAATTTGAGTATTCTTCAAATGTCTTCAAGATAGTGAGTTTTAGACCGCCTTGTTGAGTTAGAGAATTGAGATCGTTTTATCGAGTAAGTCTTGACATTTTTTTTTTATTTCTTAGTTATTTGAATAAGCTTTCAATACATTAACCGTGATTCCAATTGAAATGGTTGAATTTAGGCAATTAAGTTCTTTATTGATTAATATAATGGGTTCAAGATTGAAGTGTTTTTGATCCGTGGAGTCATTACACTCCACCTCGCGTCATTTGTATCAAAGTTTAGACATCTGATTGAGCCTACTATGTTATATTTCTTTACACTTTGTGTTTTTCATAATTAGCAACTGAACAGTTTGTTGCGAAGCCATTGTTCTGCATCCCACTTGATCCTATCCAGTTCATACTTTTAATTGGTAGTGTGTTTGTCAAACTAGTCAAGAAAAAAAAAGAGAAAATCAAACCAAAATCGATTGCACATCATAATGCAATTTGAGATCATTATTTTGTATTATTATTTGCATTCAGAGAAAAAGTAACTGCCTGACAAGTGTGGCAGTAACCTTCTATATTCAAAGGACAAGTTACTAAATTCAAGTAAGAGAGAAAAACCTTTATTTAAGCACAAGCACAAAAGATTAACCACCTTTAAAGGTGCACGAAAATAGTTTCTCTATATTTCAAATTACTACATTATTGAGTCTGCATTGCATCTTTTCACTCGTGCATGCTTATTTGAACTTCTAGAGTCTACTAGGATTTTTATAAATTATTCCTAACGTGCAGGACTCGATTTAAAGAGATTCCATTCCTGACGATCGACTCGACAAGTGAAGTTTGAGTGATGAGTAGCAAACACGAGTGACAATAAGTCAAGGATGGGTCTTGGAGCTGAAACATTAACTTAACTCCATACAAAGATGTGTTTCACTAAACCACGATATATACTAAATAACTTTCACCTTTTCTTAGCTTCTTTATTCTCACCAGGTTCTATAAGTGATGAAGAAGCAAATTTGAGAACAAATCTTTTTGAAGAAGGGGAGGATGACGTGATATCGGGAAGGGCCAACTTGCTTTTAGCAGACGAAGCTCGCGAAGTTCAAAATCCCCACCAGATTGACACCTGCGAGCACAAAACAACTCGGGCGAAAGACAAACCACAAGTTGTTTGCCATGCCGCGCGCACTTACACCCAACATGTCATGCACACCCGACCATGATAACTCACGCGAGGTACACGTGTCACCCAAGCCACAGAAAAGGCACTTCGAGAGGAGCACCATGAGGAGGTTAAGGCCCATGTCGACCATGTTTATTGCTAAGCAACAACCCAAATAGGGCAAGTGCTTGACCCACCCAAACATTCCATGGTGGGCTTTGGGTTCAAACCCATTTAGAAGAGCCCATGAGGACCTGGTCCGAAGAAGTTTGGACAAGATAAGGTGACTTCTAGCTTCACT